AGACTCCAAGTCAGAAATACAATTTATTAAGAAAAGGGAGAAAAAAGGAAAAAAACCAAAATACATGCAATAATACAAAAGAAAAAAACCACTGACTGAGTCAGAATGCAACCTGACACTCTGCTAGTTAGGGTGGTGGTAGCAGTCCAGATGAAATGGTCTTGTTGGAAGTGGAAAAGATCTGGTAGCTCTTATCTTCTGAAAACCAGTGGGTAAGGGCAGCTTGTTCTGTCCCAAACTCCAGACTATATCCAGGTGGGGATGTTTAGCTCCTCCCACCTGGGGGGGCATCTCACAATGGGCTGACATCATTCTATGAGTAATGCAGTGGGTCCTTGATTACCCATTAGACAGAAATGACTCCTGAAGGAGCTATCTCTGAGTCATGTGGCGAGGCATTGATGCGACCATTTACAGGAGATAAGGAAAAAGCAATGCCCCTGATTTCAACAGCTCTTGAGGATGGGGAAATAATACATCTTTATATTGTAACCTAGGACATAATCTACCTGTGTTGGACACCTTGCGATATCAGGCCCGGTACAGGTCCCTGATGCACCTCTTTGCCTCGCCCAGGTCTCGGCTGAAGATCGGCTTCACGGCAGTCGACACCACCCCCTTGCCAGCCACCGCCATCTTGATGCCACCGCCACCTTCCCCACAGCCCATGGGAGTGCACAGGGCAAGGCAGCTGCTCCTATTGGCCTGCTGAGCGGCTACTCCAGCCTTTTGGGCCGTGCGCCTCCCATCTGGTTAGTCAAAAGAAACGCCAACCACCCAATCACCGTACTGCAAGGGGCTGAGCAGCTGCCTGCTGGGCCCACACAGGGCCCCACCTCCTGAGGCCGTGGGTCTGCCCCGCCCCTCAGAACCCGCTCCTACCTTAGGGCCGGGCTGGGGCTGTGATTTGGAGAGAGCCATTTGTTCCCTTTGCCCTGGAACACCACAATCGGCTGCTGTTCGGTCAGATAAGTGGACTTTCTCTCAGTCACTCTTGCATGCTGGAAAAGACGCTCCATACTTTAGCTATACCCTCTCAGAGCCCGCTCCTCCCTCAGGGCTGGGCTGGGGCTGTGATTTTGAGCAAACCATTTGTTCCCTTTGCCCTGGAACGCCGCAATCAGCTGCTGTTCGGTCAGGCAAGTGGACTTTCTCTCAGTCACTCTTGCATGCTGGAAAAGACACTCCCCACTTTAGCTGTACCCACGTTTTATCCAAATAAGCGAGTGCCGGAACCTCTCCAAAGTTAATTTTCTCTTTAAACACACTGGGGAATGTGCTGGCCCCTATGAATCCGAACATATGCAGTTAGGTGTCACTGAACAGACCAGAAAAGTAACACTGAAATGATCTTGAAAGGCGCCGGTGTCTGGTGTGAGGAGAGAAATCTCAGGTGAGTATCTGAGGCAGGAGCACAGCTGGACTGAGGCAACCAGAAAGAGGAGGGGCGAGAACGGAGATTTCGCATCACTTTTATTCTTTCAAGTTATTTTGTCGATGAAAAGCATAAATGTGCAAATGAGCAGTTCCTGCTGAAGTTCAAATCTTAATTTTGTTAGTAAGTATATGCATAATTCCATAGCATTCATAGCTTCCAAAATTACTATTAGACAAAATTACTACTCCACACGTGCACTCAATTTCAGATTTATTTATTTTATTAATGATGGTTATATGTAGGAACTCCTTTGTTCTACTGTCTCTTTATATATGGTAAGTGGGCAACTTCTAATTTAAACATCAACATATCTTTTTATCTTGCAAACAATTTGTCAGGGATATTGCAAGAAGAAAGAGAGAGGCAGCTCTGAAATCTGTGGCCATACAGTTTCAAACAGTGTTAACTCCATCCCAAGGTGAGTTCCAAACATGCCCAAGAGCTGACTTTATGTAATGCCAAAAATAAAAAAAAAAAATTAATTGAAGGAGATAATAAATCTAACCACCAGGATTTATCTTTAAATATATTTATGGAAATTTCTGTATTTCACAAATGACCTTCTTCTGTGGCTAAAACACCATCTGAATTATTTATGTACTCCTTGGTATTTACTCCTACTGGAGACATAGTGTGACATAAGGGCTGTCAGGATTAAAACTTACTTTCTTTGAGGTTAGAAATGAAGACAGTGCAATATTTGTTCAACACACAGAAGTGTGTAATAAACAGGAAGGAATGAAGGGGACATGAATGTCCTGGATGGTAAGATTTCCAGAAGC